ACTGGACATTCTAAAACTTGTTATAGATTTAAAGATAGCCTAAGAAGCCTTACAGTAGGGGGAACTCAGTTGTAACGATTTTGTATACACAGCAATCCCTCCTATGTCCTGAAACCAAGCTTTGGTTCAAGAACAAAGCATGACTTCTGTTCCCTCTCCACAGTGGAACCCAAACCGACAGGTTCCACACACCCCAGCAGCAGCCATGTTCTGCACTCGAACACCATGAAAGATACTCAGTGTACCCTAAAGCACGGAAAGGTTCATTACTTATTTTAAATGAGGGGAAGGCAGGCTTGCAGGGTTATTATGCAAGAAAAACAAGCTTCACGTCAAGATAGGGAAACTAGCATTTTTTAATTCCTTAACTCCACTGCAGCTTTAGTAGGTACTGGAAACTACAGCTCAAGACTTTATTTAGCCTTACTGATACTGTATTGAATCTTGCCACTGAGATGGCAAGTAGCAAAATCAGACACACAGATGCTCATGCTCCAGAAAGAAAACCTGCCACTCTCTCAGTTTCAAAACAAGACTGATTTTGCAAGAATATCATGGAATGTAATCAGAGGTACTCCTGGGAAAACAGATGAGCCTTTGCTTGTGGAAATCAAATTTAACATATCTTCAGAACCCTCTAACTAATTATAATTCCTAAAACTGTTTATTTTGAAAACAACACGCACAACTGCCCCAGGCTGCCACTCCCACGACCCCATACTGCCATCCGGCACCCTGCTGCTCTCAACTGCAGTGGCATAAGGAAACAAAGGACCAGCTCTGAGAATCCAAGGCAAATTGACTTCACCTTTCATTCTTTTCTAAAGATGAGCAGATTTAGCAAGTGCTCCAAGCATGCAGATGCAGTATGCCTTCTGCTGATCATTTCCAACAAGGTAAGAAACGGCTGTGGATATCTAGAGAAATTTTTCACTCACCCAATCACTCTATCACTGTTATTCTGCCACTTCCCACTTCTTGTATTTCTCAACCTCCCCTCAGCCTGTAACACTGTCAAATGCTGCCCCAGACAAGATACTGATCAGGCTATTACTCCTTTACCATCCTTCTGGTTTTGTGCGTATATATGCCGTCTGAACAGGTTCAGGTTTGTGAACTATTAGCAGACCTGATCCCATGAAATAAAACTTTCAGTACAGATATCTTCTACATCTCCTCTGGATACATAAGTAAGAGAAACCAAAAAATTAAAAATATTTACCTGCGTTAGGCAGTAAAAATCCATACACCTTAATTATTTTCTGCTATTTTCAACTTATCTCTTTTTCTTTTGTCTGCTACACTATACTTCTATATTTTATAACTGGAAAAAATATAAAGCTTCACACTGGAAGGGAGGACTGTAAGTCATAGGGTGGCTTGGGTTGGAAGTGACCTTAAAGTCCATTCAGATCCAAGCTTCCGCCATGAGCAGGGTAACCACCCATCAGATCAGGCTTCCCAAAGCTTCATTCAGCCTGGCCTTGAATGCCTACAGGGATGGGGCATCTACAGCTTCTTTGGGCAACCTGTGCCAGTGCCTCACCACCCTCTGAGTAAAGAATTTCCTCCTAGCATTTCTTCTAAATCTCCCTTTTTTTAGTTTAAAACCATTTCTCCTTGTTCTATCAGTATCAGATCACATTAGAAGGTCTTTTTTTTTTTTTTTTTTTTTTCTGTTTATAACTACTGGAAGGCCCCAACTAGGTTTCCCCAGAGCCTTCTCTTCCCCATGCTAAACAAAGCCCAGCTTCCTCAGCTTCTCCTCATAGGAAAGCACTCACCTACCCAGGCAAGACCTATGTTAGGTTAGTGTATCATCTATTCTGTTTTGTTGTTTTCTTTTTTCCTTTTCCAGTACTTTGATATTTTTGAAGAACACTGCCTTACTTCTGACACCCTCCCTTATCTTGACACTTGACTATGCTGAACTTCATATTTTCCTCAAGTCTTTGCTGAGGGATCTCTTCTCTGAGTCACTTAGTGACTACACAAGTCCACACACATGGTGCTCCCACTTATCTGACTGCATTGCACCAAGGAGGTTTATCTGCCTCAATCCACTGCAGTCCTTCCTGTGATATTCTTGGCTGAATATCACACACTACACATCCGTTCTCTTCTTTTTGAAAAAAAATGGTGGTACCATTTTCATTACTGCTTGCTCCTCTGGTAAAACAACCTTGCAGAACCGCAGGGCACTCTGTGGGAACTGTACTGCCCTTCACAGCAACACACTACCATCACAAATGGACAATACCAATTGTTTGACTCTAAGTCTTCTTTTTTTTTTTTTTTGGTACAAACTTTTTTTTCTGCTTTAACTCTAGTTCATAACTTCTGAATTTGCTGTCAAATTTTTCTAGTCAATATATTATTGAAAAAAACACTGTAGAGTGGTCAGCTTAGTATTTCTCTTGTTTCAAGCAACAGCATTCTCAGTAAATAAAGAAGCAAAATAAATCTTTGAGATAAGTACAAGAGAAACTTTTAGTACTTTGAGATACTGATTCTTAGCTTTTACAAGAAGCTATAGCATTTTAAGTCAGTTTAAATCATACTTGTGAGGGGGTTGTAGCAATGTCCCTATTAAACCCCATGTAAAAATCTTAGTTTTGTGACCTCTGCTTTGGTGTACAAGGACTTGGTCATGCATCATCCATGCCCTATTTGCAATCTTTTCTTTTCTATCCAACACACATTGCACAACTTCCATCAGTACTGGCTTGTCATACACATTTCGTTCTACTGTAGTATTAAGGAGAACTTGTGCATGTCTCTTCTCATATAGGCCCTGCATTACATTAGGTTTTAAAACTGTTCCCAGCTGAGTAAATAGAAAAATCCTTCAAAACTGCACAAAGCAGGTAATAAACAGAATAGTTTCCTGTGCCAAGCAGTAATCATCATCTTTAGTGGTTTTAGCTGGCGATTAAATAATGGCTGCAGACTGAACTTTTAATTTCATTTCACCGCTATGACCAACTTTTATGCAAAAGTCTCACAATATTATATGATTTCCCTTCTCTCTCATCTCTTTTATATATTTCAATATGTTCCACACCATCAAGGAAGCCTTTCAACATAACTACAATTACAGCTGCTGAATGGTTTGCAGCTAACACCATGGATGATTTTCTGTGTTGCACTTTGAAAACGCACAATGTAAAACTTCATAGACCCAATGAGGAGCAATGTGAATAACAGCAGCTCTGCTGCAACCTACTACAGCCAGCTACTAAAACTGCAGAAAGCCAGGTGCAGATGTCAAGCATATGGCAACTCTCCGTTGTTCCCCACTCTGTACTTTTGTGCTCCGGCATTTGGCCTGGAGCATGCACAAAGCTCCCTAGGAAACAGACTGATCGTCTGCAATGGCACCAACACACTGGAAATCCTCTTCATGAAGACTAATGTCCTTTTAGAGACTGCATACAGAACTCCAACCATTGTAAACAGCACAGTGAGGCTTAAGTGGGCACGGGAGTAGTTCTGAATATACATATATTTTTTTAAATATAAAAAGAAGATTCCAAATCTAAATGGTTGCTAAATGAGGCAATAACTCAGAAAAGAAACAGAATACTGAGAACATCTTCATTAGATTATTAGATCTGAATCTGAAAAAAGATATTACTGCAAACTGACATTAACATTTCTCTTTCTCCTGTTTCAGCAGCAAAACTGTCATGTTATGCTGGCTTTGTCTCAGTCATACCTGTTTCTCAGTATCGCCCACACACCAAGCACTTAGGATTTCTAATGAATCAAAATATCCATCATACATCCAAGTCACTGCATTTCGATTCAATTATTCTTAATTAATTATATTTTTAAAGAAATTACAGAGTACTACAAGCAAGCCAAATGCAATTTCATTTCATTCAGAGATTTTACTCTGAGTCAGCAGTATGAATCAACTCAAAGCTCATGAACTACTAGCTTCATGCAGCCAAACAGTAAACTGCTCCATTTTACATAATTTCCTTTTACAGAAATGCATTTTTTTTTTTTTTGCCCCTCAGATATGTATTTCTGTTGGTAAGGTTTCTAGAGGAATAAAAGGAGTTTCTGTATTAATTCCATATTTGTGGGTTTTGCAGCATAACACTGTCTCTCAAACAACACGTTCTCCAAATTGGGGAAAAAAGGATGTGACGGATGGAGCACTCTCTGGATAAGAAATTGGCTGGATGAACCACAACTCTCAGAGCGTGACAATGGCTCAGTGTCCAAGTGGAGACCAGTAACAAGTGGCATTCTTCAGGGATCAGTGTTATTTAACATCTTCAGAACAAGGGAAATGGCTTTGAACTGGAAGAGAGTAGGTTTAGACTAGAAATTAGGAAGAAATTATTTGCTCTGAGGGTGGTGAGGCATTGGAACAGGTTGCCCAGCAAGGACAGGCTGGATGGGGCTTTGAGCAACCTGGTCTTGTGGAGGTGCCCCTGCCTATAGCAAGGGATTGGAACTGGATGATCTTAAAGGTCTCTCCCAACTCGAACCATTCTATGATTCTGGGATAAATCTTAAAACTCCAAAAACTCCTCCTGAAGAACAAAGAGGCAGCCAAGCCTGGCTCTTGGGGCAGCTGCCCAGCCACAGAGGACACACGGTAAGGCCAGCCTCAGCACCACCTCCCCCAGCCACACTAGATGTGCTCTTATTTTGTTAGAAAAGCATAAGGACTAAGAATCTATTTCCATACGAGTAAATAATCTGGCCTGGACTACATTGTTTCACTTTATATACAAGGACTAATAAGACTCTCAAACATCTTCCAATAGATCATCGCATTCAAAATACACACTTCAAAACTGAGAAATATTTCTTTTAGGGGAATCCCCTGTAAAATAAAATCAGAGATGTATTTTTGAAGTGTGCAATTATGCATTTTAGTTTTCCAATCAAACATAAAAAAAGTAATAATTCCTCACACACATATAAGAAAGGAGGTCCTCAAATGTCTCCTTCCTTTGTTATTAGGTGAATATGACAGATTCAGAGTTTATTCAAAAGATAGGGAAATGTGGGATTTTATGGACATGATAGGAAGATACTGGGAGCAGGCTTCCCTGCACAGGCTCTGAGCTACGTGTCTCCAACATAGGATTCCTTACTCAAGCTTTGTTTTCCTCATGTGCAGTCAAATCATTTTGGAGACGACTAGTCTAAACAGGAAGTTAAATCAATAAACTTCATATCATTTTAGCAATTCCCCTCAGCATTGTAGAACTCTTTCAAAGAATAAACAAGTGAAGACCAGCAGGTCACTCAACGGGGAAATGGAAAAACTAATGGCTGTAGGGTGTGATCTGTATGGGAAAAAAAAAAAAAAGTTTACAAAAGAAATCACATCATTTTTTCCCCTACAGGCATATTTTGCTAAGCAATAACTTCATGTACCATACTTAGACTTTTCTAAAATGTCCCCCACACACACTGAATGAGCACTACTAAAGGATAATACTTTTAATCTGAAGTAAACGTCAGATGTCAGAAATTCTGTAACTTATGATCTACATCCCAGGTTTTTTTTCAGCTCTTTATAAAGACAAAAGTTGTTCCACTCTTTGAAGTAAACTTGCTTGAGTAAAACACATAAAGTTAACTTTCCATTAATGCAAATAAGGTCAATACCCACTATACTGTTTTAATCAATTTTTTCTGAAATTGCTTGGGAAAAAAAAAAAAAAAAAAGAAGAAGATCAGTAGTGAGAATAAAGGCTTTTCTTCCTAGCATGCCCCATGAAGAACCAAAGCAAGACAAAAATCAAACATTTCTAACATGGTTAATACAAATTTCAGCTTCTTCAGTCACAACCACTGTCTATTGTGTTATTAAATAAACCAGGTTTGCTGTTTATCACAGTACCTTCATGCCATTTTTTAAAACGCAGCACAGTGCTTACCTGACTTCCTTAATTGTACTCATAGGGCAGGTCTGATGACTGCCCTGTACCGTGAGCTAGAGATCATTCTGTGGAATCATTTTTGAATTTGAACTTCCCAGCGCTACAGAAGATGAGAAGATGATTAAAAGAAATAAAATAGAGCCCTTCTATCACTTTAAACAGACATTATCTGCAGTAATTAGACTCATTTTTTAAAGGGCAACTATAAAAACCCTTTCAAAGAAAAATCAATTTCTTGGACTGCTGTATGACCACAGCTGACATCTGATGCGATTTCATTTTCTGCGTGTCACAAGCTATTATTTCTTTCACTGGGTCCTCCAATAGATTTTTTGGGGATGCCCTTTAGGCTTAATTCATGCATTCATACATTGATCATTAGCTCATTTCTATAAAAAGCCTAGTACAAAGCATTCCAAAATGTATTTTGTAATCGTTCAGTGCTTCACACAAATTCAGTTGAGTAATTTGAATAGATTGCTTGACTGCAGATATCCAATTTATGTTTTCATTATATAGAAATGAGCTCCTTAATTATTAATAAAAAAGCTTCCATTCACACATCCCATATCTGCCAAACTCTGCAGAAACCTGAAACACCGCACTTCTGCCTGAAATCACATGGGATACTGATTGACTTGATCGAACATTCTAGAATAATGGGCTACTACAGTAGTCGATAACTTCAGTAATTGAGCTATGTCCACTGTATACATATAGGAGGAAAAAAATCCCTTAGAAACAGGTTTTTGTCAAATAACACTTAGAGGCAGAGAGGTTCATGTGTCTAAGTTGTATAGAAACAGTAAGAATTGCTTTCAGTATGACACTCCAGTGTAAAATGTGCACCCTTAATACACTGCTTACTTGGCAGGGATTAAGTTTTTAGCAATATTTCTTTTTGTATAAAAACAAGCTGCTGGTCTCTGCCACGCTGCACTGTGACAGGAAGCAGTGCCACATCACATCTCAGCACACACAAGCCGCTCTCAGAACAAGTCCCCCTACCAGGGAAGTGTCAGGACAGCAGCTGTTGCCAGACCCCGCAAAAGGAGGAAGACAGGAACACAGTGCCAGCCTTCACCATCCACAGATCGACTGGTGAGAATCAAATCCATTATTTCTCACCTTGGAAGATAAGTGGTACAGCATAACCTACTTTTTTCTAAGGTGCTCAGAGACTGCAGTGCAACATCAGCATTTACAGATCATTTCCATCTAAAGAAATCCTGTTTTGTGAATCATGCTTTATTCGAACACAGTATTAACATGCAGAGGAAGTTTTTCCTAGGCACTACTAACCTAACATGGTCCTGGCAAACAGAGAAAAACCACCACCTCAATGTCTCTTCTGCAGCCCTTCCATACCCAGGTGCAAGCCAAAGCATAGCAACCCTGAAAATCACCCGATTGCTCAAGATCCCCTGGGAACTGGCAGAGCAGGAGCATCACAGCATTTCTGACACAATCTAGGTTCAAGCAGAATTGTTTTGTCCTTAGAGACATAGTGTTTTTCATGCTAGCACTCAATCTCAATGTTGTTTGGCTTCCCCTCTCTCCTCTGGTGGCATGTAAATTACATGTCCGAATAACATTCTGCATTAAGCTCTGTGACCAATTCTTAAAAGGCTACTTTATTTATAAAAAAGGGTGGTCCACAAAGCTGACACCTTTCTTTGTCAAGAATTTATGAACTACCTTTAAGCACCATTGAGCCTGATACATGGGTCAGTTGCAAATCAGTTTTTCTTGCTGAATTATTACGCTATTAACTCCAGAGCTTTCTCAGCTTTACAAAGTGCACTTTCACAATGTGTGTAGAGGATGAATAGCCTCAGTAAATTCCATTAGACAAAGGAACAATGAGGATAGCATATTGCTGACTTCAGGATAACGAAAGCAACACTGGATTTCAGCCTGTTTTGACGTGACTAGCATTGTGTTCTCATCTCTTGAGATGAATGGTTTTCAAGCTCTCATCTTCTAGAAGGATATACAAGAAAAGGATTCCAGGAGATGAAACAAGATTTTATTATTATTTATTACAGTAGCATCCATTTGTTCTATCATATAAAGTCCCATCATGTCTGATGTTTGATAAGCATAGGATACTCCCTGCCTCAGACAGTCCGCTTTACAAAAGCACACAGGACAGCCACAAGGAAGCATCAGAGTCCCTTTAGCACACTGAGAGCCACATCATAGATTGCGTCTTTGCCAAACTTTAATCACTTGCCCAAGAGTTGTGGTAGGTCCAAATAAGCACCTTTAGCCATATTCCTGTAAAGCAGTCTCTTTTAGATGATATGCACCCATCTCAGACCCACGTTTTATTAGAAATATCTTGCATTCTAGCTGTTTGAGAAGTCAACTCTTACATTTCAGGTTTATGACTTCACACTGCAGTACGCACATTGTAAAGTCACTGCCATCAGGTAGAACAGGCTTAAATATGGACATTCTGATTTTCTCTAGGTACCTATTTTAGTTCTCATTGTGTCAAGAGCTGCTTACACATAACTGGCAACATTCCTTAATACCATGCTGAAAATAAAAAGCTAACAGAAAACTAACAGTTTCAGATCCAGCACAGACCACAATCAGAGAGATTTCAGCCAACTATTTTCATACTTCAGGATCTGCTTACAAAGTTCATTAAACTACATTAATGGAAACTTTCTAACGGATGTAACCTGTTCCTACTCTTTAATCAACACATCTTTAACGCAACAATCCTCAGTAATCATCTCAGGCATGTGCCCTAAACAACATAAAGAAAAATTCTTCATAAATCAAGCAAGCTTCTTTTTTTTTTTTTTTCTCTCTCCTTCTCCTCCTGCAAGCTTAAAATTTAAAAAACTGGAGCATTTGGAAAAACTCAAGAACCATAGCATCCCACTCATAAAGAAGCACAATTGGTTTGGACAGGCTTTTGGCAATAACAGGAGTTATAGAGTACTTGCAGGTAGGCTAAGAACCATATACAAAAAGAAGGGACAAACTTACCCAAGTAGTGAAGGGACACTCCAACTATACAGCACCCCTCTTCTGGAAGCAGTCCAAGAGACACTCTTACCTCCATGGATTGCCTTTATAAGAGTCCATGGTGCCTCTGCCCTGGGTATACCCCTTCTGATCACCTGGGGAGCACAGATGCAAACAATCTGCCTGTACTCCCTGGGCCAGCTGCACTCCTTCATCAGGTGCTCAATCCCCAGTTCAAGCCATCACCTAACAGTCCCTCTACACATGGTAAAGAGCTCCATAGTATGAAGGCAAAGAAGCTAGGAAAAGTTGTCCTCAAGGCAAAATACCCAAAGCATAGCAGGCATTTTCCTTATAAAATGTGTTTTTCAAGATGTACCCAACAACTAGCTGGCCATAATAATTATATAAGTGTCTAAATTAAGTAAGGAGAAAAAGACATATTTGCTTATAATAATTCTTAATCTTCACAATAAAATACTTACTATCCAAACATCTAACAAAAATATTAAAAAAGAAAAAAAGAGTCTTTTGTTTACAATATTAACAATATCAGCAACACATGTTGGAAGAGAAATGCTTAAAGTCAGGTTGTGGTGCTGCAATTCTGCCTTTTCCTCTGCTCTCCTTTCCTCCGTTGTATCTTTTTCTGTGTTCAACATGTGGAGCAAAAAGCGTAAAGTGCCACTAAAGCCATTTTAAGAAAGGTATCGGTGCATCACCCTTTCAGACTGGTCTGCTTTCTGCAGTGCCACAACTAACAGTTCAGCCTTTCACCTGCTTTGTGCCACGGACAACACACAGTAAGGAGTAAGGAATGTGCAGCCAGCACTCCTAGAGGATATGGTTGGGGTGTTGGCATGCATGGGAGGAGGCAGCAAGGGAAGCTTTTGAAGGAGGAATTGGGATTTCTCTTTTTAATACCTCACTTCTATCAGTCCGGCTCAGCAGTATTCTAAGTTTATCCTACTGCTAAGAAACTAAGAGTAAGCAAACACACTCAGCATGGCGTAGGACAGCTGAAGCCACCTTCAGGACAAGGAACTGCATTCTCCCATTCACACCCATCCTAAAAACCAATCAGCTGCACAGAATTACACTTAAATTTCTGAAGTTACTAGTTACTTCTCACTTCTAATTTCACTTGTACTACTTTTTTTTTTTTTTTTTTTTTGTCTTATAAATAGAAAAGAGGGAGAAAATTTTATGAGTGGGACCTGTAGAATACAAATAATAGCAAAAATTTGTAAAAAAAAAAAAAACAAACAAACAAACAAAAAAAATTTGCCGAATTTACTGCAAAACAGATATGATAAATCAACACAAGCATACACTAAAAGCCTAAAAAGAAAAATTCCACTGTTTTGAAATTTAAAAATTCTATGGCATTTATTTAAAGACTGTAACGACAGGCAAACTTTTTCTAAAATGCCTGGAACTTCTGCTTCAGCACAGACCTGAACACACTGCTTCACACAGCTGTGACTCCAAATGCTGTGACTACATGCTAACACATCCCTACTGAATTAACGGCCCCACCAGTGGGGCTGAAACCTTTTCTCAGCCAATAGGATATTTATATCCAAAGAATAAAATCTTTCTCAAAATTTGTGAGAGAAAATGCCTATTGCTCTCATGCAGGATCCTTCAGAGAACCTTCTGGAAATCTCAAAGCAAGGCCTGGAGAGGGAGCTGTGCTGCGGACAAAGCAGCTCTAACACAGAGAGCTGAGCAGCTCTCCAGCCATCTGGCAACAGATCCTGGCATAACCCACAGCTTGTCTGGAATGGGATCATTATACTATTACAACTCGCTAGGCAAAAGCTTTCATTCTGGAATAAAATAGCCTCTTGCTTATTTCCAGAGTGATTTACAGTAAACAGGAAAGAAAAGGCTTTTATATTGTTCTCGTGGAAGTTACAAAGAGATGATTTTATCAGTACGCTAATGCAGGCTAATTTTCTCACAAACAAAAGCAGAGACAAATTCCAGCTTTTCAGTTCACATGGACCAAAGATTGTTAAGATACAAAGAGAACTTAGTTATTTTGAGTCTTCCCTGCTGAAGGCTACTCGTGTCCATTCTCCCTGCTCAGAGATACAAAAATCATAATTACTTCCATGATTATCCAACATTTTCATAAACTGGAAAAAAAAAAAAAGAAAAAACTGCCTCTGATCTCCATACTTACAGATTAACAGCCTTAAAAAGCTTTCGGCATGCCTACACTGCCACCCTCTAGAGGCTTTCGAAGTACAGAATGTGCTTTCCTCTGCTGCAAACTGATGGACAGTAGCCAGTAGCCACTGCAAGCATGAGAAGGCACTGGCACTGAGAAGACATGCATCCCAGTTCTCACTAAGTGAGGACGCTAGAAAAAGCACTTGCAAAGTGATTTACTTTCCTTACCTAGTTATTAAAATACTCCTTTCTTTTACTGAATGTATATTAAGGACTTGTGGGGCTTGAAAAGGCGAGAGAGGAATAGGATCAGATCCTCTCCTTTATTCAGTGAACTTAACATAGTTGTATGTCACACCATAAATCTAGTTTCAGGTACTGTGAAACATCAATTAATTTCACATATTCAACTGGGAAAATAATTAACTCAAATATTCAATTTCTAACTATCTCATTTTCTATGGGAATAATTCAGCCTGCCTATAATGGTTCACTCAGAATTACCTGAGAAGGTACCAACCTCATAATTTCCAAGCAGCTTGCTGTATGGCAACTGCAATGAAATTTTATACCATCTCCTACACCATGCTCCTTGGAGGCAGGCAGCTCCCACTGGGGCAGGTGGCTCTTTTCCCAAGCAGTCCCATTGGCTGGGTGCAGAGAGCTACACTTTGGTGCAATTCCTTGGCACAAGGCACGTATGCGAGCTCAGACATCAGCACATTTGGGTACAATATGCTTTGCTCTGTATTTTGCACATTGCTTAGCACCAAAGGGAAGCAATCTCAGCTGGGGATTCTAGATGTTACTGTAACATCGATAAAGAATAATAATGATGTTTATAAAAGCAATGAGGCTTTTAAATGAAATGCTCTACATCAATGCAATCTATTATGAGAAATTAGGTCTTTTCTATGAGAAAACTTCTAAACCTCCACTTCAAAACCTCCACTTCAAAAGTCTGAAAAATGATGCAGCTATTGCAGTTGGAACTGCCTTCCTTATCACAAAAGCACCCCCTTATTTACAAATGTTGATAACCAAATGATGATTGGAGAATCATTTCTCATAACTAAGATCCTTAATCCATTTGTCGTTTGAATAGAAAATAGAATTAATTTTGGAACACTGATGATAATCTCTAAAGCATGCATAAATAGCAAAGAAATAATTAATTCTTAAGAAAACAAAATTAAGAGAAGGCAGCAAAATGCTTAATAAAACATGCATTATATATTTTACGCAACATCATCACAATCGTACATGGCATACAACTTCAAAACAATTAAATCTAAGTATCAGAAGAGGCTATAACATCATATGGCTGTGAATTTCTGTAATGCAGAAGGTTTTTTTCCCCAAAAATGTCCTGTGGCTGATTAAATAAACAAACTAATGTTTATTTAGTCCTCACTGAACTTCAGTGAAAGGATCACATGCAGAAATTTAACCCACCTTTCATTCCTATTTCCTGAAGAACACCAATACCCACCATAAGCTGAGCATCGCTGCACACAGGTTTAATCAAAGGTTTTGTAAGCTCACAACCTCCTGTAACATCTTCACGAGGAACAACACCCAGGGAAGGGACTGGTGTACTGAAACGGCTGTACATAAGGATTTTTTTTTTTCTCTATATACTCATAATTTACATTTAAATACTTAACCTTTTGTTCTACGTAATTTTGATTGTTCATATTGTAATTTGAGCTATATAGAATGTAATGGACAAAAGCAAACCTGCACAATGCTGAGCTTTGTTTTCTGAATTCTAAGATAGTAAATAAAATATGCTGCAGGAAAATGTGAAATGTCGTCCTCTAATTTCAATAAAAACCCCAATAATAATCAGAAGTTTTAATGGGAATAAACTCCATTTCCTTTTATATTCCTGTCACAGGAAATGTGATCATTACATTAACTTCAGTAAAAATAAACAAGAGGCATTACAAAAACATACATTAGGAATTTCAAAACAGTAGATCTCAGTGTAGTTTAAAATGTAAAATAAAGTAAGCTTAGAAGATTATGAGCGGGAAAAAAAACAACAAGCAAGTTCTTTTCCTCTTACTAATATTCTTAGATACAATAAAAACTGGGAAATGTTTTGTCTTTGCAAAAGAGGAAGAGACTGGTTTAATTTCAGTCAGGAAAAGAATAAAAGTTAAAAGCACCATACATTTTAAGTACTGTTTTCAAGACACTTACACAGATTGAGAACAAATAGAATGTATTTTTAGTAATATTTTTATGGAGACAAGCTTTCCTTCTTGTCTTTTTTCTTCTGAACGAATAGGCTATTGACAGAATTGGATGCTTATGTTCAGATACTAGTCAAAACAGGGTTCAGAGACAACAAAATTAAGGACCTTGAAAGTCTATAAAGATATTTAAATCAATCAGTTGCTCCATAGGCAGTCAACGGTAGGAATTAGGTTATGCATAATGGACCCTTTTCAAAATCCACTAATATCAACTGAATGGCTCCTACTGATAAAAGTGCTCAAATCAGCAAGCAATCATGATACTTCACTGTGGTTAAGAAGCAAATGATGAAGTAGCCCAACTGAGAGAAAGCCATAACAACCAAAAATTCAATTTTGAACTAAATCCAAAATATTGAGGCACCAAACAAAAAGACATAGTCAAAAAGCAGTGCTAGTATTTGCAACTTCATTCAATGCATCAAAGTAAGACCTGTCCATTCAATTAAGGAATATAATTCTATCAAATAAGAAGACTTTGCATGAGGAGGTTAAGGATTGTGTTAGGTCCCATGAAAAAAATAAACACTTTTTTTTTTCTAATCAAACACTCTCCAATCAAACACAATGAAATTGATATGGTTAAAATTGACCAAATCCTATAAATATTTTAATCCCCAGGCATATGATCGTGCCCCCAGCATACCACCATCAGCTCAGATGCTTTATCATTCACCAGGCAGTGCCTGTCCCCCAG